TTATACTGGCTCAGATCAGTTATTAGCCAAAGTTCCAGAGGACCTTTTTCAGGACACAGGCACTCTCATTCACTGCCCACATGTTCCAGCCACCTCCTCTCTGCACTGTGATCTGTGTCCTCAACTCAGAGAGGGGAACTCATAGAGCATTTTAAATATTGAAACGAAGTTCCAAAGGCAGGCTATTTCAGGGTATGACCCAGCCCCTGACTATTGAAAGAGCTCACTTGGTGACACTTGTGTTCAGTGAGGAATGAGAATCATTACCCTGGGAATCTATAAGAATTCTCAATTGAGGATGGGCAGATGGGCCAGTCATAAAGTGCTTACATAGAGGGTGTGAGCTCAGGTCTCCATGAATGTACAGAGTCAGACATGGTGCATGACAGGAATATGTGGGGCGTACTGACCATAATAGGATCCCTGGGGCTCACTTGTAAACTCCAGATTCAGTGAGAGACACTTATAAAACAAGATGGAGAGTGAGCATGATACCTGGCCTCCCCCACACAAGTGCACACACAAGTGTGTTCTCTCACACACAGAATGCTTATTCTTAGAAGGAACCTACTATTTGCTAGGCACATACATGTGTCAGGCATTCTCTATCAGCTGTGACGAGCATGAAGCTTGGGGAATTAGCCATCTGTCCCAAGAACAGTCTACAGGACTCCACGCACTATCACATTCCTGTCCCCCCCCCCGATTGTGAAGTGGTACCTGGGTTGTCTTGGCCTGGTTGACTCATGGGCTCAGTCCCCACTGGCAGGTTCAGAGCCCTCATTTCATTCCCCTTCTTGCTCCTTTTAGAAGCTGCTGAGCGCTCTGCTGGCTTCTGGAGCCCCCTCTTGCATCCTAAGCGGCTCTTCTCCTGCTGGACAGGTGCCACTAGAGCTACTGGAAGCAGCAGCAGGGTGGCAAGAGAGATAGCTTCCCCAGGTCCTCCAGCCCCACTCAGATGTCTGTTGTACCTAGAAGGACAGACTCACACAAGAGTGAGTGGTCTCAGGGGAAGCCATAGACTTAGCAGTTTCATGGACATGCTTTGCCCAATGTATTTTTAGTGTGTTCTGCATTTTCACATGTATGTACAGGTGTATATATGTGTGTGCACACAGGTACCAGCCACAGATCAATCTCAGGAGCCCTCCTGAGACAGGGTCTCTCACTGGGACCCAGGGATCACCATTATTGGACTAGGCTGACTGGCCAGTGAGCCTCAGATAGCCCTCATCTCCATCTCCACAGCACTGAAATTATAAGCATTGACTGCCATGAAGAAGGCTTTTTTGTTGTTTATTTTTTGATTTGTTTCATTTTTGGGGGTGTGTTGAGGTCCCCAGGTCCCCATATCTGCATAACAAGCACTTTACCAACTTAAAGATTTTCCCAGCCACTCTAACATTTTGTTTGTACAGATTTCTGGGTGGATCCCCAGAGAAGCCTTAGAGCTATCCCAAGGATATTGAGAGATCTGGGAGGTGGGCAGATAGTTAGCCTTCCAGCAGCCCACCTCTCCTAGGACCCATCCTACCTCCAGCCCCTGCTCAGCCAGGAGGTGACTGTCAAGGTCCTGGCACAAGCCTTCAGCAAGTTACAGCAGGGATCCTCAGGCAGGGCTGCTGCTCAGGACAGGGGAAGGCTGCTCCATCCTGGCTCACCCTCCCTTCCAGGGACTGTGATTGAGGCGTGTGGTTCCCTTGGAAACAGTGCTCCTTGTCTCCTGGGGTCAGAATCACTTAATCTGTAGTTACTGCAATTTTGATGCTAGTGGGGGAGAGACCCCAGATACCCTCCACATCAGTACACCACCCGCCACACTCAGCATCATCATTTCCCGAGGCATGCAAATCATCCCTCCTCATTCTCACACTCAGCTTTCCCTAGTGTGTGCACATGTGCATGCACGAGCACACACACATACACACACATATACACACAAACATACACACACACTCACACACACACTCACACACACCCCTTTCTCCCGAGCTCAGACAGCTGCTAATGACTCTGATTTTTAGCCCCCAACTGAAAAGGAACAATCACGTCCCTACCAATTACCTCCTCTCAGTGCCCAGAGGTTTCCCAACTACCAGCACCAAAACACCCTCGCTTTTCAAAGGCTACATTACAATCAGATTACGAGTCAGAAGGAGGAAGCTGGCCAGGCAATCCATTTTCTTTGCTCTCTTCCTTTTAAGAGACGTCGATGTGTGCAGGGAAAATCAAGGGTGTGCTGGAGCATGACATTGGACAGGACGGCGATTTAAGTACTCAGCGCCGCATCTGTCAGCGTTCCATACCGTTCCTGAACTGGAAGCCCTTGGAGGGCTTCCTCCTGTTTGGTTCACACTTGACTCCCTCACATCCTGGAGTCCAGTGGGTTCGTGCTGAATCAGAAGCTCCGGGTCTCAGGAAGGCAGGGATGAGCACGCTCAGAGCAGAGATGGCAAGGACGCCACAGCTGTACTCTATAGTTCTGCCCACGGAAACAGCTGGCCTGGATGAGAAAAAGGAAAGGCTAAGTATCTGTGAGTGCTAGGAGGACCCAAGCACAGGAGGGGAGATGACAGTGCCAGGAAGCAGATGTTGAAGTGGATCGCGGTTTGAGGCCATGCCAAGAAGCTCGGGGAAAATATTTCACCAAAACAGTAAATGGAAAATAAAGGCAATAAAGGGACTTCTGGCCACACTCGGAGCCTGGAGTCCCTGAGAGACTGCAGTAGCAGAGATTAGGACGGAAAGAGAAAGGTGAGGCCCTTGAGTCCTTGTCCATCAGAGAATCATCTGAAGGGTGGTAAGGACAATGGTAGACATGGAAACAGCTCTTCTTAAAATTATGAAACAAAATCAAGACTGTCGATGTGTATAGCAGTACTCTGCCCTTAGGTTCACATGCCCAGTCAGAGTGTCAGAGTGCTTCTCCTGTCAGCCCCTATGTCCTCAGAAGGCTACTTCGCTCTTTTGTGTCGGGGAGGGAAGGGATGTGTATGGGGGTAAGTGACCATGCACACTCACAGGTACGACTGAAGGTTGGAGGACATCCTCAGTTGCCAGTCTTTGGGAACTCTCCACCTCCTTCTGAAATAGGGTCTCTGATTGGCTTGAAACTCACCATGTAGGCTAGGCTGGCTGGCCTGTGAGTTCCAGGGATCTGCTTGTCTCTATCTCCCCTACAGTGGGGTTAGAGACATGGGCCACCATTAGTTCTGGGGCAAGCACTTTACTGACAGAGTTATCCCCTACAAGCCCCTATTTTGATCTTTCTGATGGCTGAATAGCAGCAAAGCCTTAATCTGTGTCTCTGCAATCACGCAAGGAATATCCCAGGACACACGTTTTTTGAGTTATGCTACCGAATCCCTAAAGGCAAATGCATGTGCATTTCAACTCTTGATGTATGTTATTAAATATCCCTCAAATATATTGTAGCAATTTACACATTCAGCAGCCGCGTAGGCAAGCTTTTTCTGTATCTTTGTGAGCATTGGGTCTCATCACTTTAATTTTTGCTAATCGCATGATCTACCGATTTAATCTCATTATTGTTTTGCATTAATCATGAGAGGTGGAGCATATTTCCTGTGTTCATTGGCCTTTTGTGTTTCCTGTCTCTAAAAACCACCCATTCGTTTCCTTTACTAATTTCTCTTGGTTCGAATGTCTTTTTCTAACTGGTTTGCAAAACCTGTTTGTATAAATAGACAAAAAATAGATCTCCTGGTGTATTTGTGGCAGACACTTTTGTAATTGGCTGTTTCACTTTGGAGAGAATTTTTTCTAATAGACACATTTATAATTGTAGAAGAAGCAAAAACTATGTTTTGTTTTTAATGCTTTCTGGACAGCTAGCTAGTTTAAATGACTTTGTCTTCTTACATGAATGAGTTATCTTGGAAGCCTCTGAGAACATGAGCGGATATGTTTGCAGAGGCTTAAATGCCATTTCTGAAGAGCCGTGGCACAGGAGGGCCAAGAGGACGTTAATACAGGCTTCTGTTTTCCTAAGGCAAAGATGGATTTTGGCAGTGCCGCGCTGAATTTATGCTAATGCCAAGTAGAACTGTAGAAGTGGTCACACATCGCACCAGAACTGTGGGAAAATCATGACAAGCCTGAGCTGCCCTGTCTCCCCTTTGCTGGCTCATGGGTCTCTAGACTTCCAGGTCAGCCAATCTTATTATGAGGGCTTAGGGTCAATTCTTAGCAACTTGGGCCCTATGGCTGCTGGAAGGAAGACTGTCTTCCGGGAACACTTAGAAACCTGTAGAGCATTATCGTACATCCTGAGCCAGTTAACATTTTCAATGATCTCATGCTTTCTTTCCCTTCGTCAGAGATTCTAGAAGCAACTAGACAGCATCTCCATTTTCCTTACTTTTCCCACATGTTGTCAAAAGTTTTGTGTACAGAGTCACTAAATTTCTTGTTCCTCACAATAACAAGGCCTTCAAATGTTTCCAATCATGGGCTCTCGCTGCTCATCATGCCATCAGGGGAGTCTTTGGCAACTGTAGGTGTCAGCAAATTGGAGAGCCTGTTCCAATACTTTAAAAAAACTCATCCTTACAATTCTGTTTCCCTAGAACCACTCCTGGCACTGCAATATGTATTAGTCAGAGTTCTCTAAAGAAACAGAACTGATAGAATGAAGACATATGATATATTACATATGTATATATTTTATATGCATATATATTATGTGTATATATAATATATATGTGAGATTTATTAGGCTTATAGGCTATAGTCCAAGTCCAATGCATAGCTGCATTACAATGGAAAGACGAGGAATCTGGTAGCTGTTCAATCCAGGAGGCTGGATGTCTGGAATCACAACAGATACTCTGGGGACCCTGCTATGCACAGTCCCTGGCTGGCTGAATGACTGTACCAAAAGAGATCTAATAATAAGTCAGTACCAACCTGGATGGTCTCTGGAGACACCCTAGCTTTCCCTGAACTTGACCACATCTTGTTCAATTCTTTTTTATCAGTGCACAGATGGCCACTTAACAGCTCTGTGGAGGACACGAGGCTGGTGGGAATGCCGATACCACGGCAGGTCGGAACTGAGAGAGGAGAAAACACAGACAGCTTGAGACAGGGTACGGAGGGGAGATGTGAGATCTGGCACTTTGCTGAGAGAAAGAGTGTGAGTCAGGGGAGCTTGGGGGAGATGCAAGCTAAAAGCGTTGGTTTATACAGAAAAAGACATGCCAATTCAAGATGTGCCTGGCTGCCAAGGAAAGTCTCAGGTCCCCAGAGAGACCAGTTCTGCACTGTGCTTGTCAGAAAAAAGAGTTCCAAAAGAAAATGTGTTCTCAGAGAAGCCCTGGGGTTGGGGTGGGGGGAGGGTGGCGTAGGATGCTGGACCCTATCTGTGGCAGGGTGGGGCCTAGGAACAGAAAGCAGACACGTGACTTCGGCTGCAGCTGACTAGGTGAGACCTAACTAGCATAGTTACAAGGGAGACACCTGAGGCTCCTGAAAAAGAATCTTCTAATCAGGGGGCTTCCTGTGTGTGGAAGCGTCCAGTGAGGCTAGATACTGCCTGGTCACTTCCATCCTAGGTCCCTCTACTACAGCTTTGGAACCTATGGTTCTGAGAGTCATGTTCAAGGTCATGTAGATTTTCCGGAGTCTCTTGGAAGGGACGATGCTGGCTGAGCTCACAGAGGTTCCCTAGCCCAACTCCCAGCATCCTGTTCCTTGTTGTATCCCTTGACTGGGTAAGACTGAGAAAGTTCTCAGAGGCCACCAGCTGCAACTGCCTTCATGGCACAGTCTTCAAAATAGGGTCCAGGATGGACTAAGGGGCGGGGACAGCAACAAGCTAAAGGTGACACAGCAGATGCTAGAAAATGTTCTGACACTCAGCCCAGAGATGTTGCTTCCCACGTGTGCACACCCTCTCCCTTCCCCAGATGACATCAGCCCACATGGAAAGGACATCATTTGCGGAAACCCCTGGTCCCACCAATCAGACTCCTTCTCACCCTGAGCAGAGAGAAGCATGAGGACTTTGCCAAACCCCTTAGAAGCTGTCCCCTCCCCTCCAGTGGAGCCCCTAACCTCTATCAGGTCCCCAGTGCCCCTTAGTGACCAAATGAAACTTCAAGATCAGCCCTACCATGCATGTCCAACTGTAGCTGGAAGGTCACAAGCAGCCAGTGGTAGCTGCGAATGCACCCCAACGTAAGATCACACACTCAGATACTATGAAAATAAATTGTAACCGGAGTACACAGTTCTCAAGTATGAACCACCTTGTAGACGACAACATGCCATCTTTATTTTTAATGATTTATTTATTTATATTTTTGGTACACTGTTGTGTATCTGTGTGAGGGTGGATCCTCTGGAGCTGGAGTTACAGATAGTTGTGAGCTGCCATGTAGGTACTGGGAATTGAACCCAGGTCCTCTGCAAGAGCAGCCAGAGCTTTTAGCCACTGAGCCATCTCTCCAGCCTCCAGCATCACATCTTTTTCTTCTGTTTTGTTTTTGTTGTTTGTTTGTTTGTTTCTTTTCTCTGTAGCTTTGGAGCCTGTCCTGGAACTTGACCTATAGACCAGGCTGGCCTCGAACTCACAGAGATCCACCTGCCTCTGCCTCTTGAGTGCTGGGATCAAAGGCGTGAGCTGCCTGTACCCAGCCCCAGTGTCACATCTTGATATCAGTAGCTTGAACATCCCTAACACTGTCTTGGAATGTTAGTTGCCCCTTCTACATACAGATCCTGTCACCCATTCTCCCCATCTGTGCTCTCAAGTACCTTTGACCTCCTGATCCCATCCTTGGGATCCCAAAATCATCCCAAGACCTGTTACTGTCTGGTTGGACCTGGAGCTGGGATCCATCCTCAAGCCCTGAGCAAATAGGGGACAAGCTCAGCAGAGTCTGGGGCAGGGAGGTCTGGGACAAATTTTATTGTATCTGTGTGTGTGTGTGTGTGTGTGTGTGTGTGTGTGTGTGTGTGTGTGTTTGATGTGTGTACACATGTGGACACCAGAGGGCAACCTTCAAGAATCAGTTTTCTTCTGCTGTAGGTGCTGGGGATTGAGGATTGAACTTGAATTATTAGGAATGTGAGCAAGTAAATTTATTTGCTGAGCCATTCTGCTAACTCTTTCTTCCATCCTGGGTTCCCCTTTCCAGGATGGAGAGGTCAAGCCATGTGAAACGGCCAGGATGCAGGATCCTCACAACCTTCAAACTTCATGCTGGAGAGTCGTTTGAATCACACACTCACTCCCCCAGGTCTGTCTGTCTCTTGTTCCGCCCTACTAGCTCTGGGTTTCTAGAACCTTCCATCTCACAAACAGTCCAGAAAGCCTGCCACTGCCCCCTAATCTCAGGGTCCACTCATAGCTCAGGAGTCACTTCCTAGTGTCCCCTGCCCCATCTGTTTTACCAGGGGACAAAGCCAGGATCTGGGATGGCTTCCTGAATTCAGTGCCTCAAGCTTTTTTTTCTTTTTGACATAGAATAAAGATGTTCTCAGGTGGTCTCTGAACATTATATCTATTGTTTTATAAACTTCTGCCGTCTCCAAATCCAAATAAGTAGTTTGTCAAGTGACTGCAAGATATCACATTTTAGTCAGACAAGAAAGAACCCCTCTCCTTCCATCAGCAGCCCCTGCATAGCTTTGGAAGCCAGGCTCTTGCTGCCTAGACCTGAGCCAGCCCAATGTACCTATAGGAAACACCTTCAAAGGTGCCCACTTTTCCTATAGGCATGGACTGTCCTCCTGGCAGACACAGAATAGGGAAACTGAGGCCAGAGTGGTTCAGTAGCATGCCTAAGGCCAAATTAATAACTCATGGAAGAGGTAGACCTTGAGGCCCTGTGCTCCTAATGTGAAGTTATGTTATAGTTACAGACCCAGAAAGATGGAGTGTAAGACAGGGAACACATGCTTCCAGGTGATGAGACACGGATGCATGACTACAGGGTACATCACCATGCCTATGCTGGACGAAACACTGGATGAAACACTGGACGAAACACTGGGGTATATGAGCATCTCCCAACAAAATACTGCAGAGTGATGCATGGCCCTTGGTAGTTTCATTTGAGTCTATACCCATGTGAATTTTAAGCACTTCTATAAAATGCCACGGATACCATGGCTTGAAGGCAGATATGTTTCTTACATCCGGAGGCTGCAAGTTCAACATGGAGGTGCCAGATGACTCTGTTCCTGATGAGAGCCTCTTGCTGGTTTTGGCCAGCCACCTTCTTACCAGGACCTAGCCTGGCTTTTCCTTGGTCTGTGTGTGCATGTGTGCCATGCTCTGTAACATCCACTTTCATAAGGACTCCAGTCCTGTGAAGTCAGTGCTTTTCTGACCTATGTCACCCCCATTTCTTCCTCTGAGGGCCTGTCTGCAAATGTAGCTACCCTGGGCTTCAGTCTTTGACTGTGGAAAACATTGACTAGAACAAATGTATAATGCTGTGTGTGTGTGTGTGTGTGTGTGTGTGTGTGTGTGTGTGTGTGTATGAAGTATTTTGCTACCTACTCCTTTATTCTTGGGTTGATTTATCTGTTACAATAACAGTTTATTTGTTATAAGTTTTAAACAACATTTATTTAGCATGTGCATGCAAGGGTCAGTTCTCTCTGTCTGCCACATGGTCCTGGGATGGAACTCAGGTCATCCTGCTTAGTGGCAAGCAGTTAACCTCAGCAGGCTATCTCGCCAGCCTAGTTTGTAAATGTTTCCAAATAAAAACCAAATTCACCTATAAGAATTGGGAAGGAGGCAGCAGAATAGTCCCTTATCAGCCCTGACCACATCCATCGTGGATGTGGAGCTCAACAGAAGTCTCCGCATCTGTTGGACATGTGACCAGGCAGCCAAACTTGTGATGTTTCCACACAGCCACAAACTGCACACACAAATGTCTGCTTGTGCTGGACGACCCTGCCTCCCAGATCTGAAGTGTTGTCATCCCGGACTGTCCCCTGTCAGCCTTTTGTGCCTAGAATCAGGATTAGGAAGGACTCCCTCCTGCTTCAAGCTCTGGAATGGATCTTATTTACACGTGGTGGCCCCATCTGCCACTCGAGGAGGAAGAGGAGGAGGAGGAGGAGGACAACTCTGATCTACCTGCTTGCTTGTGGGCATTCAACCAACCTTCCTCCTTCCCTCCCTCCTCCTTTCCTCCCTTCCCTGCCTCCCTCCTTCCCTCCCTGCCCAGGCTTGGCAGAGCAAGTCAATTCATGCTAGATCTGCCTGCCCTCTCAGAGCACAGCCAGCAACAGGCAGATTTCTGCAGTGGCCACTTCCAGGGACATGAAGGGAAATCAATCCCCTCCATCCAAGGTTGCAGACTTCACGTCACTAAGAGATGAGCTATCCACAGTCCCTGTTCTCTTACACTGAAGGGGAATCATATGCCCAAAGAGGGAAAAGCCATTTGCTGTGATAGCCACCTGACAGTCCCCCACCCTGTCTTTTCATACCCAAGTCCTGCTCTCTCTTGCTCTGTCAGAAGCTACCCCAGGGCAGTGGAGCCTGGGGCATGCAAGGTAATTCCTGCCACTGTCCCTCCCTCCCCCACTCCCAACATCTCTGAGCAAGCTTGGCAGCTGGAGTCCTAGGGAGCAATGAATCCATCACTGGGGTCAAACGTGGGGCCTGGGGTATGTGTTAAAACAAGAAAACCAATCAGAGCTGAAAATGAAAGGCAGCAGAGGTGTGAAGTAGGGAAGGAGACTGCCAGACAGGCACTGGCTGCTGCCCAGCTGCCTCCAGGTCTTTGTGGGCCTGGCCATGGTGTCCAGATCCTCTAGGAAGCAGGTAGCTAGTGAGTATCATAGGTCTGCTTGTCTCCCCCTAAACAACACGGACAGCTCAGGGCTCTAATAATGAGGAGATGCCCCGATCACAAGACGTGTTAGTTTATCGACTCTTAAGCATCTATGTTGGGGTCAGTGTTCATTCTGGGGTAGTCTAGGGCATCAGACCCAAGGAACAGGTTTCAAAGCCCCTTCCCTGGCCCAGATGGTACTGGAAAAGCACTAGACCCAGGGAACAGTGTTCTAACACTAACCAAGGACACGCTTTGGGTCTGGCTGTGCAGAGCTCCATGCATGGCTGAAGGGAAGGCCGGCACGTAGGGCAGCTAGGATTCAGCTTAGCAGGGAAAAGACTGATGCCATCCTGCAAGTTCTGGTGCCCAAGGGACAGCTATGAGCCCAGATGTCACCCACAGAAAATACAAGGAAACAGGGAGAGCTGAACAGAGAGAGCTGCGCCAAGAGGCTTCATGCCAAGCACGGACCGAGAGGTCCACCAAGAATAGGGGGCATCAGGTACACCTGATGCTGATGGGACCAACAGGGTATTTGTCTCTGCCCTCATCCTTGCCCAGTTCAGACCTCCCAATGAGGGAGCCGAGCCAGGTGGCCCCACCGTGACCAACAAGGTGACTGGTGGGCTTTAGAGGGGGAGAGAGGCCAGTCCAGGTTGAATACTGCTCTGCCTCTCTTCATCCAGCCACCTATGCTGACAAGCACAATTGCTCCACTGGCCTCAGACTCCCAGCAAAGCCCTGGAGAGCCAGGGTGGCCGCTCTATTAACACACAAACCGGTAGCCCAGCAGCTGCTGACACTGGGGTTAATTAAATCTATCTCCCCATCAATTCTCATTCAAGTACTATCGACGGCCATTAGATGGGTGACAGAGTGACAAGGAAACAGTAATAGACTTGTCTTAGCTCTCAGTGCGAAGGAGAGGGCCCACCTTCCTGCTGAGTTCCCCTGCCTTCCCCAGGGAGAGCTTCGGCTATGCTTGCCAGGCTATTCCCCGCCCCTCACCCACCAGTCAGCAGTCAGGCTCACTCGTCTTTGTTCTTTTTGCAAGTTTTTCTTGGGTGTTTGTCCAGCACCAAGTCCGATGGGCAGAAAGTATTTGGCAGGACTTGGGCTATTCCCCTCTGCTCTCAAACAAGTGTTTTCTCTACCAAACCAAATCTAGCCAAGGCCTCCTCTTCCCTAAACCTCATTCTATCCCTGACAGGCCTGCTGCACAGGGCCCAGTGTATGGAAAAATAGTCTGCCTACATACACTCATATGCTAAGCCCCAGGTTCTGGTATTATGTAACTTCACCTGGACAAAGGGACTTTGCAGAATGTGGTTAAAGATCTCGGGTATACAGATTGTTCTAGATTACCCAGATGAGCCCCATGGGGGTCACATAATCCTGGGAGAGGGTAGTCAGAGCCACACGTGTAGCATGAGATTTGATATTCCAGAGGGGACTATAAGCCCTGATGGTCAAAAAGCCAATGGGGAAGGCACGGAAACAGACTCTCCTGGGGCTCTGGGAGGGACTGAGATGTGTACCACTTTTGTTTTGGCCCAAGGAGACATACACCAGACTCTGCCCTCTAGCACTAGGAAGTCACACGTCTGTAGAGATGCATTAGAGTTAGCCCACTCCAGCTCATTCTGTGATCACCAACCCTTTCATACCCCCTGTTCTTCTGTGGACCGTGTCTGCTGCTTGAGGCACCATTCCTGGCTGCCAACTTTCTCAGGACCATCCAGCACCTTCTCCAGTCCCTCTCATGGGATCTCAGTCTGTACAAGGACCTGAGTCTCCCAAATCCTGTTGCCCAGTGCGGCTGCCTCTGCCTCCTTGTCCTTAGTTTCAAATCTGGGGCACAGAGAACAACCCAAGCAGGCACAAAGGTGTGAGCCAGCCATTTCTTGGGGGCACAAGTTAGGCTAATGATCAGGGCTCCACTGATGGGCAGCAGCCAATTGTCACTATGAGTCAAAGGCTGTCAGAGAAAGGCCACACTGCTACAAGTCAGAACACTTGAAATTCCGAGGATGATGGAACATGAATAGAACCCCAAGGCCGAGGAGGAAGCTCTTTGGGGATTTAGTGAGTACAAAAGGCCATGGTAGGGGATTTAAGTCTGACTCTCCATCCCTGGGGCCATGAGGACTGTCCTATTCTGTGCTCACTCCAGCCTTTATTGCAGCCAGATATGGTACATGGGGTTCATGCTGTGGCTATTAAGTTTGATTAGGGCCTTCAAGGTCGAGAAGAATCTACTCAAGCGATCCCTCCCATGGGTCTGAGTGAGTGTTCCGTAGTCATCTCTAGAACACCAGGTGTTCTCAGAGCCAAAGCAAAGCATCCTGGTCCTTTTGGTGAAATGTGTTTTCCTGTACCTGGGCTGGCCTTGAACTCACCATATAACCAAGGATGAGGATGACCTTGAATTCCTGATCTTGCTTCCAATCTCTTGTATTACAGACATGCGCCACCACACATGGTTTGCATGATACTTGAGAATCCGAAGCTTCATGCATGCTAGGCAAGCCATCGACAGCTGAGCTCCATTCTTGGCTTCAATCCTGGCTTCCTGGTGCTCACACCACCCCAGCCTCACAGCAGAGTGGACCAGACTGATCTCTTCTTCTCTCTA